GTTTAGTAAGTGTCATTATATATTCTTCTACCTCTTTATTCAATAGTATCTTCATGATATAGCGTCATCTTTATATAGACATTTTAGATTCAAAGAATGAATCAACAGATACATTTTTCTCGTTTCCTGATTAGTAATTGGTGAAATATACATATCATAAAGAAATACTGAAATCGATAAATGTTTTCAAATTTTAAAACAATATTTTAACCAACACTCGATCTATTTTCGTCAGATTTGGCTACTCAATATCCGTTTATATCCAGGTCGAACAGTACGATCTGTATACGACCGTTTGCTCTTAATTTACGACGCGAAAACGGCCGTATTACTGCGTCCTGTATTACGGAAAAAAACGGCCAGTTTACGGACCGTATCAATCAAAGTACGGTTAAAATACGGATAGCCGTATCGGTTGACCTCAGTAAATGATATCATTAAACGTGCGTTAATTATTACCAATCACGATCAGTTTCAACATCATGTTCAAAATGAATTGTGTGCTCAAGTTGTCAAAAGTCGTACAAGAGATTGTAATGAATTACAACAATTTGTTCAAGAAGCATGTACTCAACTGAAATTACAAGTTTGTGTCTTATGCAATGCGAGACATTCAATTACAATGAAAGTCAACCGTGTAAAATATTCATTAGTCATTTGGTGAGTAGAAAACAAAATAATTCTCTTCATACAATGATTTTGATCTTTGTTGCAGTAGTATAAATACATTTTAGAAATCGAACCACACATTGAAGAATATAAATTTCATGTCGTTCTTGGCGTCGTCAAACTGATCCATGAAGTTTGTCACTGTTACATGAGCATTTTCTGTGCATTTGCATCTCTGATTAATACGGATAATAAAGCGTAAGTTCATTTTTTTTAAATAAGGGACACTCATATATACTGCTTTTTTGTAGGATCAAAGTTACACCACCAAATATCGGCCGTAAGATTGTTATGCCATCTCCGATAATGGCAAAGCTTCATCATCTAAACGGAAACGTGGTGAGTTGAATTGACACAGATGTGAGAATTTGTCGAGCAGTATGCTGTTGACGATGACATAGGAAGAAACTTAACTAACTCACTATTATGCAAAACACAACATGATTGTGCTGAGATTTATTTACCTCTCTATAGATGCTCCTGTTCTATGCGTTCGCGATTTCGTTTATTATTTGAATCTGACGTTCCGAAAATATTTTGATGAAAAGTTCCTATTGTATTCTCTTCTTTTGTAGGTGTCTTGAAAACAAGAACAACCAATAAATCAACAAAAGAAATTGGTGATATGAGCTAAGGTGGTGAACAAATTCTTTTAGGTGGTCGATTATTTCCTGTATTAGATAATTCAATTGATAAAAAATGCAAAGTACATTATCGATGCTTATTGGTGTAAATGATCTTTTTCTTGCTTCAGATCATCGGGTTGCGTCTAGATGTACATGAAAAATCGTCGATTGCTACCAATAAATATAATGTTGATTTAAATTTTATTAGCACGTTGTTTGATATCGATAAGTTGAAAGGTAAATAATTATTAGCAGATGAGTAGCTATGGTTGCAATTGTCTATTCATTAATTCTAGTGATCCATGACATTAGTCAACTGAAAATTAAATTGAATAGTCCACTTGAAGCTGATCAACAAACAAAAACTATATGTCATGCTGTTCCAATTAGCTCAAAACTTCAAAAGCTTCGACGAACTGATTCGGATTCCTCATTATGTCAGTATTCTTACTTTAAATAAGACGTAATTAAAAGTTTTGCTGATCTCTACTAGTGTCAAGTAACCTCACCAGTAGCACATCCTCCATTGATTCAGATGATTTACATAATATCGATCCAAAAGATCCAAATGTTTTGTATCCACCATACTACTTGCCTCCTCCAGGTTTCATTCCCAGTACTCCAAATTCGACAATGTCAGAAAATGATGATGATGGCACAGAAGCATTGGCGGCGGAGCCTATAGGCTGGGTGAGACTTGAGCCTCGCCCGTTTTTGGCTTCTGTAGGCTCAGCCTCGGTCAAATTTTGAAATTGGGACCCGGTCGCTTTCACCTTTAAGCTCATTTATAATACGAATCTTAGTTTAGAGTGGAACTTGACACCTGGGATAATTTTATTGATATTTTGTAATGAAGAGAACAAAAAATCTCAGACAGCCGTGAAGTCACTAATTGTATCGGCACGATTCAAAGTAGTATACCTTTTAGTATTGTTTACATGAACTGATGTACAAACTGAACGAATTGTTGAAAGATAAGATAAATAGATCTAAAATCTAAATATGGTCTGAAAAATCTTCTGTTGTTTTCTAATATAATATAATTGGTTTCATTTTATTGATTGAAATACAATCTCAGTTATAGTCTAAAATTTCAGCAACAATATTGACCAAGCGGAGAGAAGCGGATTTTGGGGTTCCGGCATCCTCTGTATGCCCATTGTATCCTCTTGACCCACAACGTATCCAGGATCGAGCGAATTCCCTGCCCCCACTCTTGGACAATACCCTAGCAACGTGGACAATACTGCATGTTGTACCATAAACAAATTTAACAAAAATTCATGATAAATGTCTCATATAAAAGCTCTATGTTAGAACCGTCATGCAACTCGAGTCAATAAAACAAAATTCAAATAGTCAATTGTATTCTATACGATTACAGACAGTAGACTTGTATGTGAAGTGTAAAATACTGATTCTTTCATATTACCACAAACTAAATGAATTCAACAAATCACAAATGCATCTGATCGTTAAAGATAAGCATGTCTATAAGAGGCAAAACCATTAAATGGCGCAGTACTGCTGTCACAGATAATAATTATATCTTGATATTGTTGCAATGAAAAGTTCGTCATTCGAGTAAAGCAATTCAAGATCGAGACGGAGCGTGCTAGCAATTATACCACTATAATGGTATCGTGTGAATAATGCAAAAATTGCGAGTAAAGTGTTTTTCTTACTCTATTAAAAAAGTATTCAATAGATCAAATAAAAGTTGCTTAGACATACCTTATTCTGCAATCGGTTTGACCCAAAGATTAGGAAAAGAAACACAGCATAAAAAAGGTATGAAAACAGAGTTTTTATCAGAAATTTTCAAGGTTTTTATTACTATCATTTAGGTATATATTCTACTTGAGTATTAAAGTCTGCGTTAGAAAATGATTCTTAACTGAGTTTGAAACCGAATTGTGTTCTGAGATGGGTCTGTTTCATTCGACGACCACAGCACGTTTTTGTAACATCTTATGATCGATGCCAGAAGCCTTTCTAGTTTTCTGTATTAAGAGATTGAAAAAACTGTCATATCTCATTAGAATCATGTATCCATTTCTTTTTTCCGTATTTCGTTTTATTGTTGGTAACATTTCACTTTTTGGATTTTTTTCTACTGATACGCTTAAGTCCTGAAAAATAGATACATGTACGTAGAAGACTACAATCAATCGTACATCCGTTATTAGTAAAAAACCAAAAAATATAAGAAATATATTTTTTTATATCTTGAAAAGATCGAAAAAATGGAATTTCACCAACAATAAAACGAAATGGATATATTCGAAGGACAACGTGAATCACTGCTTATGTGACTAAGTGAGTATTGCGAACGTAATATGTTTGTGTTTAAAAATATTAGCATTATATTTTCTCGTTGTCACCAGATGAAACACAAAGAAAAGAAAAAATAGAGAAGGAACATGTGAGAAAAAAGGGATAACGATCATATGCATATTAATGAAAAATAAAATCCGTTTACCTGTCAAAAATGTCATGTATCATTGACTAATGTAAACAAATGTATGTTGGAAAAAACCAAGTAATTTCTCTCACGATAAATATTGGGCAGAATTGCTTGCAAGCAAAGAAACAGAACTCGCATACTCCAATATCATTTTCATAGCAAGTAACTTTGATTTTCAAAATACTGTTTTCAATAGGAGATGCTAAGCATATGCAACTAGACGTTTTGAGTGAACTGTTCATATAGTCGTATGATATCTAGCCCTAGATCTCGATGAATCAGTTTTGAAAAGTTAATATAGTCAATCCCAGATTCACTAACATAGCACACTAAAGGAAAGTGAACCGTGATATATGAAATTATATTTCAACAAAGTACAACATGTATGATAAGCAATAGAATACAAAAAAGTCGTCGATACTGTTAACATTCTAAGTTACTACAACAAGGGATGTGGGTGTTTTATGAGTACTCTTTTCAATGATAGAGACTTCGTTGAAATATAATATCATATACCATGCTTTATTTTTGCTGTAGTGTACTATGTTAGTCGATCTGAAATTGGTCGCATTAACTTTCCAATCCTACATCGGTCTAGTCTAATCTAAGATTCGCTTGAAATTTTCAGTCGGATCTCAAAGTCGACGTATTGTAACTGATTAATCCAAGAATTCTCGGAATTAACGTCCGCGCAACATCGGATCCCAGATTGGGCACATCGAAAGTGAGATCCTAGCTTGACCTAGATGGATTTCAGATGGGCCTGAATCCTAGATTGGATGCCAACATATACATTGCTCATCTTTCTATGAAACCTTGTCTTGCATATTAGCAAGAGTATATAACAACAAAAGTTTCATGAAAAATGCATATATAGAATGTATGAGTTGTGTGTGGAGTGTAGGTGCGGGTCTTAGCGTGGATGAAGTGCTGCATTAAGTTGTCGTTGATTTATATTTTTGCGAAATATTTCTTTTGTTATCTTTGGCAGATCTAGCAGAGGTGCTTCTTCGAATTTATAAATTTATAATTTATAGAAACTTTTGCTTTTGTTATCTTTTGCTAATTTAACATGGGTGCCGTTTTTTTCGTTTATTTTCGAATTCATAATTGTCACTTAGCTCTCCATGTATATTCGAAGTTGAATTAGGCAACTCATGATATTTTTACAATCACCTACTGTGGTGTCTATTGAGAGGGGCACTCGAGTCTCAATGGTTACGTATCTTGATTGTCACGTCAATTGTTCAAAGAGCTTCTAAAGATTAAATCGAGTGAAAAATACACTTCAAGCTTCTCTAACTTAATCAGTCTTTATTGGAATATATAGATTAAAACGATTTGACGACAGATCTAAAATAAATCAAGTCAACGTTTATATTGCCAAATGAAAAATGGCAAACCTTTTTGGGCTGATATTCTTATATAAATTGAATGATTCTTATAGCTTGCTGAGATCTTTGTTTTCCTCTACCACCATCAACTCATGTCAGAAACTTTATCGATACAAAATAGAACAGGGAAGCGCAGTACACTTTTTGACCGTACAGAATTAAATCATTTGAAACGGTATATCACCTGAAAATTCCTCAATCAGTATCACACTGATACATGACAAAATATTTCAGAATAACAAATAACCCTAAACTGAGCCTCACCCAATTTCAAAACGTTCCGCCACCCCTGCATATATGCGAAATTAGTAGGCCCCGGATAAGTGTGAGTAAAAAAGGCCAAATCCAAACATAAACACACATCCACACCTAAACCACACTCACGCCAAGTCACACCCACACTCACAGCCTCATAATGTCACCTCGTATACAGAATGAGTTGGACTACAGTTTAGTATAATTCAAAGTTAGGCTCTGACGAAAATTTATTAAGATAGACAACAAAAAAGCATTTTTATGAAAATAATAGTAGGAAACAGCTTTGAATTGAATGGATATCACACGTACGAACACATAAAAATCTACTCTTTCTAATGGCGAAACTGTAAACTGCATGATGTTAATAGATCGAAAATTATTCAAAAAATAGCGGTGGCAATTAACTCTGAAATGGAATTAGATTGTAAACAATGAAAGTATTTAATTTTTAGATTATATAAATGGCTACAACATCAGAGAAAAATATCATTAGCTATAGATTGTTAGGTTCCGTGTTTATTCTTCTTCACTGAAAAACAAACAACAACCTAATCTCACACACACTAACAAGAACTAAAAACAAACCAGTGTGAAGCTAGCCGAACCGGATCACTCAGCCGGATGAAAGCAATGATTCTATTGGACAATATGTTCACCAATAGTTATCGTGGTTTCCGTGAAACACCAATATAGAGGCATAGAAATTTTAAAACATTTGGACATGGCAGTCTTAGTAACGTTGATATGTGCTATGTAAGAAATAGAACTTATTACGGTTATTTTCCCCTAATATATCATTATCAAGAATTATTTTTCGTGCTGTTGGTTATTACTTTAAACACAGAAAAACTAAAAATGACTGATAATAAAGAATTACGTTGCATGATGTTAGTTTTTATTTTGAACGCTTTATTTTAAAGAGAAAACAAATACTATCTTTTTCGACGGCTTTATAACGTATTTTTCAACCATAGAAAGATGATTTCTAGCAATATCAAAGATTACTATATCGGTATCCATCTTCTGAAAATAAACACAAAGTTTTCCCCTGGATGATAATGGTGGTTGTATTAGCAATATTTCACTACATTCAAATTTGTGTGGATCCGTAGTGGGGTTCTGGAAGATGTTAACATGATTTCTCTGAACATCCACTGCGACTGCATCGATTCATGACATTTTGAGAACAGCACAAATTTTCCTCATGAATAATGGTACTATGACCAATAATATGAAGTAATTGAATTTGTGCGGAGCTGTACTAAAGTTCTCCAAAATTTCAAGATAATTTTCATAAACATCCGAGACAACTGCATCGATTTGTGGAATATCAAAAGTAGCATGAATTTCCGTCATCTATAATGGTAGTATTAGTAATACTAAGATGTAATTGAACTTGTGCGGCTTCGTAACAGGGTTCTCTAAAATCTGAAGTTGGTTTCGAAGAACATCCAACTCTGTTGCATTGGCTTTCCGCATTTCCAAAGTAGCGCAAATTTGTTTTTCTTGTTCATGATAGTAATAGTAATAACACGAGCTATCTGAATTCGTGCTAGTCTCAGACGGCTCCTTATGTATTCTCAAATATATTTTTGTGAACAACTGAAGCACTGTTATCGATTGATACCATTTTCTAATCAGCACAAAATTTCTTTCTTGCTGCTGATAACATGATATAGTAATAATACAAACTACTTGAATTCGTACTAGTCTCAGACGGCTCGTTATGTATTCCAAAATATATATTTACGAACATCTCCACGAGCTGCATCGACCCATGCCGTTCCTGTATTAGCACAAATTTTTCTTTAACCTTGTTGCTAATACTATTACTATTACTAATACTAGAAAGTATCCGAATTCGTGCCACTCTCAGACGGATCCCCCTAGATTCGTAAATACATATCTGTGAACATCTCAACGAGCTGAACCGATTGATACCGTTCTCACGTTAGCACAAAATTTCTAAAATTGTTGTTGATAATACTATTGTCAATAATACAAAGTATCTGAATTTGTGCCACTTTCAGACGGGTCGTCATCTATTCCAAAGTACATATTTGCCAACAACTCAACTAGCTGCATCGATTGATCCCGTTTTGAAATTAGCACAAATCTTTTAAATTCTAGTTGATAATACTAATAGTAATACTAGGAAATGTCTGAATTCGTGCCACTCCCAGAAGCGTCGTTACATATTTCTAGACATATATTTGTGAACAACTCAACGAGCTGCATCCACTGATGCCGTTCTCAACCTAGCAAATTTGTTTTCAACCGTTGTTGATGATACTATTATTAATATTGGAATGTATTTGAATTTGTGCTAGTTTCCGCCGGGTCGATATAGATTATTAGACACATATTTGTGAACATCTCCCTGAACTGCATCGAGTGGTGACGTTCAGAGATTAGCACAAATTTTTTCAGCCCTCGTTGATAATACTACTATTAATAATACAAAGTATCTGAATTTGTGCCAGTTTCCAACGGGTCGATAAAAATGATTAGACACATTTTTGTGAACATCTCGATGAGATGTATCCATTGATGCCGTTCAGAGATTAGCACAAATTTTTTCAACCCTTGTTGATAATACTATTATTAATAATAGAAAGTATTGGAATTTGTGCGAGTTTCCAACGGGTCGTCATCGATTTCCGAATACATATTCGTGAACATCTCGATGAGATGTATCCATTGATGCCGTTCAGACATTAGCACAAATTTTTCGAACCATTGTTGATAATACTATTATTAATATTCGAAAGTATCTGCATTTGTGCCAGTTTCCAACGGCTCGATGTAGAATATTAGACACATATTTGTGAACATCTCAATGAGCTGCATCCATTGAGGCCGTTCTCATGTTAGCACAAATTTTTTCAACTCTTGTTGATACTAGTAATATTAGTAATAGAACGTATTTGAATTTGTGCTACTTTTCAACGGGTTGACAAAGATTATTAGACACATATTCGTAAACATCTCAATTAGCTGCATCTATTGGTGCCGTTCTCAACTTAGCACAAATGTTTTCTACCGTTGTTGTTGATAGTAATATTAATATTAGAATGTTTTTGAATTTGTGCTAGTTTCGAACGGGTCGATAACCATTACCGAATGCATGTTTGTGAACATCTCAATGAGCTGCATCGATTGGTGCCGTTTTCAACCTAGCACAAATTTTTTAGACCGTTGCTGTTGATACTATTATTAATAGTAGAACGTATTTGAATTTGTGCTAGGTTCCAACGGGTCGGTATGGATTATTAGACCCATATTCGTGAACATCTGATTGAGATGCATGGAGTGATGCCGCTCCGACACTAGCACAAATTGTTTCAGCCGTTGTTGATAATAGTAATACGTATAATAGAAAGTATTGGAATTTGTGCGAGTTTCGAACGGGTCGTCATCGATTTCCGAATACATACTCGTGAACATCTCAATGAGCTGTATCCATTGATGCCGTTCCCATATTAGCACAAATTTTTTCAAGCCTTGTTGATAATACTATTATTAATAATAGAAAGTATTTGAATTTGTGCCAGTTTCCAACGGGTCGATGTAGATTATTAGACACATATTTTGGAACATCTCATTGAGCTGCATCCATTGATGCCGTTCAGACGTTAGCACAAATTTGTTCGACGGTTGTTGATGATACTATTATTAATATTGGAACGTATTTGAATTTGTGCTAGTTTACAACGGGTCGGTATATATTATTGGACACATATTCGTGAACATCTCAATGAGCTGCATCGATTGGTGCCGTTCCCATTTTAGCGTAAAGTTTTAACGGTGCTGCTAGCTAGGATTTGTAGAAGTAGCAGTTTGTTGTTTTTGCTGTCTGTTGTATATCACATTTTTGATGGTGGGGATAATCAATATTTGTATTTGAGTTTTTCTCGTAGGTTAAGGTGAATTATGATAGTTAGAGAAAGTGAAAAGTGGTAGATGATGTGGGGAAAGGTAAAGTTTTGATAATTTGAGTTCCAATGAATGTAATTGGTTCAGTCTAAGAGGAAAACGATTAGTTAGTGTCACGTGATTTAACGGATGAATTTACGCCTTGTTTAGTGACAGTTTGAACCTTTCCGAAAATTTGTTCTCAACTAGTGTTATTAGACGTGTAATAATGAGTATTGAATTTTATCCGTTTTGATTAAGTCTTATTTACGGGATAAGTGTTTTTGGGTGTGTGTGTGTGAAATGAGGCGATGTGTTATACTTTATGGGATCATATGTATTTTGTTTTACTTTACCGTGTCAGTTGTTTCCTGAAATGTTGGCAGTATTAAGAGTTTTTCATTTTCTGTATGTTGCTAAGGAAAATCGTGTGGTATTTTGTGGAGTAACGTCGGTATTTTATGCACTTATTTTGATTAGTCGAACGGTCGAATGCATTCGATTGGTCGTCCGGCTATCTTCCACGAGGTTAGAAAAGAGAAAAAGAGACGATGAAGACGAAGAAGGAGGATCGTCCATCTATACATATAGATGGCGATCCTAACACCTCCCCCCTTACAAAAAAAAAACACCAAAAAAAAGAAAAACAACTAAGCAAAAAATGTTCATTGACACTAGTCTTGTTCTAAGTATCAAAACACCACCAGGATCAAATGCTCGTTTTATAAACCAATAATTGTTGAAAATAATATTGTAAACGTTGATAGTGACAGCTGTTGTAATTTGTTGTATAGTTTTTTCTAAAAGTTCTTGAGTAATTGTTTCACGAAGTATTTCATTTGATATTGGTCGATTGAGTTTGCATGAGAAAGATTTTGATCCTTTAAGTTCAACATCAACGGCATTAATTTCATTATAAATCCTTTTGCCAAAAATATCCATTTCATAAGAGACAACTGTAATAGAAATGGTTGTTAATTTTGTTAACGTTGGAACATGTACACATGGATCATGACTTGTAACTAAATGAACATCTTGTACCTGAATAGCTAATGTTTCACGTTTCATTTCATCGCTTAATGTATCTGCTTGATTAAGATCTGCTTTAACAGATTCAATAATTGTATTGGCATCTTCAATAACAACATTTGTCGATGTTATAACGTTTTCTTGACATACTATTGGATGAATCGAAGATCGACTTCGTTCAATTAACTGAGAGTTTTGTATGGCTAAATCATATTTTTCGTTGAGTAATTTCATAAATTCAAAACAATGTGGTTTAGGATTTTGCTTCATATTGTATTCAGCTAGATGTGATTGACCAAATGAACTATCATCATTTCCATATAATTTAAACATTTTTATAAATTTTTCTATAAGCAATGACCATGTTGAGAAAAGGTGTTTATTGTCGTAAAACCAATCTTGTGCATAACTTTCTAAACATAAAGATATATAAGTCAATTTTTCATTATCTGTTAATTTAAATGCATTTGTTGCTTGTTGAAATTCAAATAACCATTTTGTGACAGATTGTTTCGATTCACCAGAAAATTTCGGTAGTTCTTGAAGATTCATTATCACGATCTGATCTCGAAGAGCATCAATAATACTATCTCTTGGATCAACTAATTCTTGTTGTACGACTGATGTTTCTGGTTTAATAGATATTGATGTTATTTGATCTTGATCAAATTCTGTTCTTCCGTAATATTGAAGAAAAGTTGTAATAAATGAGAAAAAGGTTGGCATCTTTTTTCGTTCATATGAATACCAAATTAATGCTTTGCCGCTTAACAATTCAGGAATTAAATCATTTTGTTCACGTAATGTAAATTTTAATGCTTCAAACTTTTCCATAATTTTTTTTAACCAATCTTCCGCATCACCATTTCCATCAAATTTTTCCATTGAACTTAATTGTGTTGAAATATCAGTGTATTGCTGTTGTTCACTTTGGACTAGCCGCTGATCATGTAAATCATGACCTAGCAGCTTACCGTTTGATGATTCGATTAAAACTATATCATTCATTGTTGATAATTGTTGTTTCTTCATTCAATTGTTGCTCGCCTGCCACTTAAAGATGTACAAAAAAAATTTTCGGCTAGTGCACCATTGTTAGGTTCCGTGTTTATTCTTCTTCACTGAAAAACAAACAACAACCTAATCTCACACACACTAACAAGAACTAAAAACAACTAACTAGAAAAGAGAAAAAGAGACGATGAAGACGAAGAAGGAGGATCGTCCATCTATACATATAGATGGCGATCCTAACATAGATGTTGCTTCAAGGAAGAGGAGAAAAAGAAGTTTGATGAATATACTTGGCCACATATTCAGCAAAATCAGAAATTTTACTCTTTAATCAAGAATTCAGAAACATTCAAGCAAGAAGATACGTTATATTCATTTATAAATTCTACGAGTGAATGTGCAATACTGCGCCGTAACGAATACCTTCTGAAAGTAGCAAATGCGATGGTATTTTTTGGTGAACACTATATTATCACAGATTTAAACCGGTATTGTGAAACTAACGTAAATGAAGCAGACAATGATACAATGCGGGGTTACAGTGTGCCACTATTTAGGCAATGGCGTGACGTCACGAACTACATTGGTGACCGTGAACATCCGGGAATATGTGACTGGGAGAAGCAGAAAAAACAGCAAGTTTATAATCAGATACCTGCGATAGCTGCAGCACAAGGCATACCTTCTCAATTTTGGAATGCTCTTACATCATTGTATCAACAGAGAAATAATTCTTGTCATATAAAAGCAAATATAGCAGATGCATTGAGTATTAAAGCATATGCAGCTCAAATGAACAGCCACGAGAGATATAGTGTAGAATATTTATCTGACTCAGTAATTCGTGCACTCCAGACAAGCAGAAGAGCTTGGCGCTGACTAAAACTCGTATGCAATAACTGAATATTAGTTTTATTTTCTCTAGATTTAGCTTTTCTTATGCTTGGTACAGCATACGACGCTCTTTTGTTTCTACTTGTGTCATACTTTTTTATGTACTTTAGTTAGTTTTCCAGTTTTTTATTATCTTTAGGGATTTACGACTTATAATATTGCATAGTTTATGTTATTGAAGCTATTTCATCGATGTATTGAAGTGCTTCTGAAACAATTATTAGATTCAGAGGTATTTAAATCATTGATATTGCTTCCGTGCAGGGGTGCCCCGACCAATCAAACTTTGGGGGGGGGGGGGGGGGGGGGTTAATTTTTNAATGATATAGTTTTAATCGAATCATCAAACGGTAAGCTGCTAGGTCATGATTTACATGATCAGCGGCTAGTCCAAAGTGAACAACAGCAATACACTGATATTTCAACACAATGCTAGGCTCAAGGGTGTCGCGAGAAAGCAAAAATTGGGGGGAGTAACTTATAAAATCCTACTTTCCAAAAATGTGGAGGGAAAAAACCAGTGTTGCCAGATCTTCACGATTTTGAAAGCTTTTCTGGATTTTCCCAATTTTTTCGAACATAGGGGGGATGGTGTTACAACCCCGTCACTGCTCCCCCCCCCAGTCGGGGCCCCCATGCGTCCGTGTCAATAATAAGTAGTTATGTAACATTATACATGGGTAACATTGCAGCTTTAAAATATTTTATCCTTTACTTTTTATCTATCAACGAGTATTTAAGCATGACTTACTGTTATATTCAATTTTTAGATATCAAAATGTTGAATTCACCACTAAGACAGCAAGCAATGACAGAAAATGTGAAACCAACTAATCAACATCTTCTGTATCAAATCAAACGCAAAAGACAGTACATTAAACATTCATTCTTTAATTCACATAGCGACGAAGAAGATCGAGCCAGTTCGAATGATTCTGAGCGTCATTCTCCCTACCCGTCGCGCCAAAATAGACCGCCTGTGGTTCCTTATAAAGATTTGCCAACATCTAAACGTCCAACTATAGCAACAACGGATGGACAACCACATGAAAGCTATCAAACTAGATCGAAGAGAGTAAAGCAAGATTCAAGTGATACAAACTCAAAAAAGCGATTTGATAGTACGAATAGTTTGGAGTATCAACCTGGTATTTCTTTTGATCCATTTATCCGAGATGATATTGTGAAAAAAATGTCCATCTTTTTATCCTTTTATGGCAATTTTGTCATCATTCCGGCGATACGAGAAACACTGAACAAAATTAAAACTATGGATCCAGATGCAAAACTCAATTACTGGCCTGACATAATGAATTTTATTGATAGCTATGATCTTCCATATGCAGATGAACAGGGAAAGAAGCTGGTTAACGAATTGGTAGGAAAAATTACTGACTATGTCGAACAGGAAGGTATATTGGTTCAAGATTGGCAAAAAATATTATGCACACTACCTGATGATGTTACCAGTAAATTTGATTATCGACTAGACCGTGCTACTGTGGACGAGATCAAAAGATTAGGGAACGAAGATCAACTTCCATTCGATTTAAGCAAACCTATCCTTAGTTTACTGAATGCTGCTGAAAAACACGCTGGAAAATACATTCGGGATAGTACTGGTTAATGCATCATGTATTATTTGCAATATGTCATACGAATTTCTGCTGCATATTTGCTCGAGTTTTACGGTACAATGATTTTATAACTGTAACAGCTCGTTTTTTACGTACTAATACCGCTTTCTTGTAATATTCATATACAGTTCATATGCAAAATTTGTTTGTATTTAATTATGATATAACTATTAATCAATTCTCTATTTATTTGAAATACCAGAAAGTGAAAACAACAATAAAATCATATTTATGTATCACTGAAATTATTATAAACGACATTCGGAAAAAGTCCAAATGTTTTTATATTTGAAACAACTTGATTTAGACGTTTGCCAATGAAGAAAGTTTAGTTTGGCGAAAATCCTATTGGCAAAGAGCGGGTAATCCGAAATACACTCTAAAAAAAAGGTTTTTTACAGAACCTAAAAAGGATCTTATCCTCGGTACACGGTAAGATCCTTTTTTGGTTCTGTAGAAAAAAGGTTTCGTACCAATCCTCTCTAAAACAATTAAGAAAAAAGGTTTCGTAGCAATGGTTTCGTACAAAACCTATCAAAAGTAATTCAAAACAAGGTTTCGTACAAACTGATTTGCACCGAACCTTTATCTAATTGTCCGCAACGCCAAATTTCATTTAATCCTCGGGCGCCGACCGCGGTATGCATACCATTTCCAGTACTTCTCAAAATCCAAGAATGATATATATTCAAATGGATCAAAAGTAAGTGGACATAGTCTATAGAGTAACCATCTACATCAGTAAAGAAAAATTACTCTATCGAATATGTCCAATAACTTTTGATTCAGTTGAACATATATCATTCTTGGATTTTGAGAAATACCGGAAATGGTATGCACACCGCGATCGGCACCCGAGGATTAAATGAAACCACCGATGATGTTCATAATTGAAACAACCTATAACATAGAAAAACATAAGTATAAGCATTTTACAAGATTAAACTTACTCCTTTATTTGCGCATATGAATCAACCTACAATCAAAACAAATACAAAAAATTGATCAAGTTTCATAATGGAAAACTTACCTAAAAGTGCATATGTACATTTATATCAACCTAGAATAACAATATTAACAAATTTATAAAATCCATAACATGAAGCTTACCTAAAAATTCACAAATATCGACAAACCTAGAACAAAAAAAAATAAACAAATTTCATATATTTCCAACGATCAAACTTACCCCTACTTGAACCTTTCCAACAATCAATCATTAAACTTCACAAATTCGAGTTATTTCGTCAAATCAAATTTACTTAAAATCCCAATATGCGTCAATCTAGAATACAAACAGCATATTAATCAATTCTCATCAATATAAAACTTAATTAAACGTCCAATACAAAAACTGATAACATTTTTGGATTTCTGGGCACCGATAACCTATGCCAAAGTTTCGTGAAAAGGCAGAAAGCTGGTAATGTATAGTAGCCATGGTACGGTATATTGGTTTGTCGGCAGCACATGGAAACGTGACCGTTTTTTAATGTTGTTAGTATTACTCTCCTTGTGATCGACGGAATGAGACGCATTCTGAAGTGAATGCTGAACTTCTGACGAGTTAAGGAAAGAAAACAGTTACCAGTATTGCTCCGAACCACATACTATTTCGTATAATTATGGGAAATGAACGTAAAGATTTAACGAAACCATGCTGATTCAATACGAAGTGTGCGAAATATTCAGATAACGTTGGAACCTTTGAACCGTTTTGTTTAAAACCTACTAAACCTTATAGCCGACGAGAAATTGTCGAAAAGTTCCGCCCGATTGAGACGGAACCTTCTGGTGGTCAACGAAACTATATGTGGTTTCGTATAAAATGTACCAAACTTTGAAGGCATCTTGGTACTCTCGAGAAGTTCCGCCCAAAAGATACGGAACCTCTCGTTAGTTTACGGAACTATGAACGGTTTCGTATAAAATGTACCAAACCATAAGGGTAGCTTGATACCCTCGAGAAGTTCCTCCCGAAAAATACGAAACCTTCGGATTGTGAACGAAACTATCAGTAGTTTCGTATAAAATGGACCAAACCTCTATACAGTGTACGAAACTATGAAAGGTTCAGTACATGATGTACGAAACCACAAACCTCTTTACGGAACTATGAGAGGTTCGGTACATGATTTACGAAACCATAAACCACTTTACGGAACTATGAGAGGTTCGGTACATGATTTACGAAACCATAAACCACTTTACGGAACTTACCAAAAGTTCCGTCGCAAAATGACGGAACTCTGTAAACTCTGCTGAACTTAAAATGGTTCGGAAAGAGAGCCACGGATCCATTTTGAATTCACAGAACTTAAAAAGGTTCGGTGCAAAAATGCGGAACTTTTAAGGTTTGGTAAAAAACCTATTTTTTTAGAGTGTACTGCTGGGCGTATCCAAACTACTAGATAAACTTAGTTCGTACTAAAAAATATAACTTAGTTTTGTGTGATCATTTAAAAATAAAACTGATAACAAATATTTTTTTAAATTAAAGCTCATTGATTTCACTTATTTGATATGCTTTATAAATCGCGCAATACGTCGTTGATTTTCCGGTAATTGATCTGATCTATTCAATGAATGTCGTATTTCCATTTCGACATTGCGGTTGTTGTTGATGAATAGGTGGAACTGCTTTCTGTCAATATGGAACATTCTTTGATGAAAACATGGGTCTAGCCATTAAATCAGCAGCTTCACTTGGAATCCTACTATCACGTGCAATCGATTGAGAGTGCATATACGAAGACATTTTATTACGATGATTATGTTGAAAATACGAAAGAGGTTCAGGCACACGTTTTTCAAGATCTTCAAAAGCTACTGGAGGTGAATGAAGGGGTCAACGTGCTGTACCATTGAGAATACCTATTTGAAAAAAGCAAATATAGTTTTTTGAAGATAGTTTATATGATCTCAACTGTTTTTCTTCATTGCATTTAATTATTCACGTTCGGTACATTTTCTATGAACAGTTTCTTGTAATCCCAAGTCGTGGCGGTACGGCGGGAAACTGCATGATCCATCGAATTCCGGCTGATTTCCTGACGCAGTTTTCTCAAAACGGATCCCGTCACGGTTTCCGGTCCGTATCTGCCCATTTCCAGCTATTGGAAACCATATCCAGATGTGAGCATCCTTTCCGTCCCGGTTCCGCATGAAGGATATTTTGATCCTTCATGATGAAGGGATCCGTTTAGGATACCACCCGTTCCGTTACGTAGATCCTAAAGTTTCCGGTCCCCATATTATGCCGATTCCAGCGCCAGAAATTCCGTCCTTTTCCCACATCTGGATCCTGCCGTTTCCATCAGCAGCACTAGCATGACAAGCTGCCAGTTTCACATAAACCCAGTCATTGCCTTCCGATAAAACCTACATACGAGTACTCTCTAAAGACAGTATTATCGTTTTTCATTCAATTGAGCCTTTGTTATGAAAAGTAGTAAGTGCCCAAATCAACACAATACTACAAAAAATCAAAAGTGAGCTTTTTTATTTCAACTTTACTCAAAATTCTGAGGTAAGTTTGCAATAGGTTATCGACGTCCAGCAACTCGAATATGTGTTCAGTTTTTCTCTGTGAGCTTCCATTGGTCAAAAAATGGGCCCTTGCCTAAGTCAAAAATTGTAAAGTGAGCGTTTTTATTTCAACTCCGCCCAAAATTCTGGTTGAGTCGTGTAAGGAATAATTGTGTCAGGAAGACAATGATTCCGTAGAAGGCGTAGTGCGACAATTGGCAAGTGAATGCGGAATAAGTCACCGTACGCTTCTGGAAAAGCCTAAGAATCGCAGGTACCCTCGTCAGTATTCCTGGGAGAAATTTTGGAATTTGTATCCTTTTGTTTTTCGGTCCATGCTTGCACTAATTGGCCGGAAATTGACTGTTCTAAACGAAACTAATAAATGTAGATGTTTTCAAAGCGATAAATGTTTTATTTTTTTAACATTATAACGGGAAAATTCAAACATGAGTTATACCAATCTCAAGGAGTAAGGTTTATGTATTTGAACTAAGATCTCAGTTTATGATGTTAAATGGTTATGATGTTTATGTTATTGATGTTCATGGTCATAGTATTATTGTTTCAAACACAAGACATTTCCATCTGTCATTTCGTGTTTTTGTCTCATTTTTGTTTTTGTTTGTAAAGTTCTGTAACACCTATGTTTAAAAGTCTTGGTATCAGGTTGAAAATGATCGATAAAGATCGAAAATTCCCGTTATAATGTTAAAAAAATAAAACATTTATCGCTTTGAAAACATCTACATTTATTAGTTTCGTTTAGAATTGAATTAAAAATCTCATGTTTCATTACATTCATAGGAAATTGACTGCTTTTGATTGGAAAAAACGCGGGAAATATTTGTACTGGATTACCCCTTGCAGGTTCCGATGATTTTCAGCGTTTCGGTGTCGTTTACCGCCGTGAGTATTTGACGGGGATCGTGTGTTGTGGTGAATTTCAAGATGTTTCCGGGCTGATCCCTCTTCATTCCGTGTGGGTTCTGGCTAGTTTCCTAGAATTTTCCTGCCGTACCGGTACAGGTTCCTCTCGATTTCCGGCTTCAGGATGTTGAAGTAATAGGCACGTTTTCGGTACGACGGATTTCCGGTGCGAATACTGCGTCAGTATTTCTAGGTTTTTCCGTCGGGTTCCTGTGGGAACAGGCGGCAATCTGATGGAAACGCCCCGGATATCGTTGGATCCTTGCCGTTTCCTGAAGGAATCGGAGGCCGGAATCGACGACCTGGGTGGCTATCTGCTAGTCAGTTTTTTTCTCCTTTTTTCATGTTCTTGATACAGTAAAAAAGTATTTTTGTATCCAAAAAACTTTTTCTTGGGGGGCAAGGGTGTTACATCCTGCCATCTATCTAGTCAGTTATAACTCTTTCGTGTCTGCTCCTTCTTTCTTTTCGTTACCTTGTTGTTATCTATGAAAGAGAAATAAACAGTCAGTTATGCTTTTACCGAAAACGA